ATGTGGGTGGTCCTTAGGAGTGGAGAGGGAATACGTGGACATATGTGCTTGTTGGAGAATCCAGGCTGGATGACGTGATTTGTGGGGGAGCCATCGGGAGTGTAGTCTGAGGCCCCAAGAGGGCTGTGTCCGTCTTTGGCCAAGGGTTGAGGAAGAGACTGTCTGTGCAGGGCTTTAGCATACTGACCCTCCATCCAGACTGGCCTCTCGCTCTTTATGGCTTCTCCCTTGGCTCCTTGAATATGAGCAGACTCTTGAGTGGGGAAATGGGAAAAATTCTATATGCACCTCATAGAACTATAGTGAGGGGTAAATTAATTAGTCTGAACATGTGAAGCTCGTAGCCTACTGTCTGGTTCATGGAATATACTCAATAAATGTCAGACAAAACTGTTAGATCATCACCACCACTACCATCATCATCACCATCATCAGCACTGTCACCGTGGTCATCATCATCACCATTACCATCACCATCATCACCACCATCAGCATCATCACCACCACTATGTCATCACCATTGTCACCATCACCATCACTATCACCACCATTATCACCATCACCACCATCATCCCCATCCCCATCACCACCATCATCACCATCATTATCACCACTACCACTGTCACCACCATCACCATCATCATCACCACCGTCACATCACTATCACCATCACCATCGTTATCACCATCACCATCACCTTCACCACTATCATTACTATCATCACCATCAGTAGCAGCAGCATCTGTGGTAGCCCAGTATTATATCATCAGCAGTAGCGTCAGCAGCATCAAGAGCACCATTATCACATCACCAGCATCACCACCATGATCATCATCACTATTATTATCACCATCACCATCATCACCAGCAGCTGCAGCCATAGTAGAATCTGTGGTAGTTCAATATTATATCATCATCACCATCAGCAGCAGCAGCATCACCGTCAATATTGTTAATAACATTTTTGCAGGTGGAAATCCTCCTCCCTTGTGGACTTATGAAACACTGTTCTTTCCTTACATCACTGGGCAGGTGTTTTTAAGGTCACAAGACCTTAACCTGAGGTTTTTAAGGTTAGGACATTGAGCCGAGGTGATGGCTTTGCCTTTTCAAGTCTCTGATGCACATAAGCTATATGAGGCATGAACAAGAGTTGATTTTTTGTTTTGAGAAAAAGATCGACATGCTTACTCACTCTGGACTGCTTCCGGCTCTTCCAGAAAACAAACAAAAAACCACCTTCCAGAGAGAGCTTTGTGCTTGGCTGTTCTCTTCCTCCTTTCCCATTTCACTTTGCGCACAAGCAACATGCCAAGTTTCCACCCTGGACTCTGCACTACAGGATTGAGAGATTCACGTGGATGTGCATTTATATCCAGTGACGCCCGTCTACAGCCAGACTATTAGAAAAGAAAGGTAGATGGATTTGAGGAGGCTAGTGCCGCACTTCCCAAGATGTGAATGAGACTCGAGGACCATGTTTTCTAGAGGAGTTGTTCCCAGACCCTAACAGATCAGAATAACAAAGAAGAAAAACTGGGTGAGCAGCAAAAAGGCCGTTATCTTTGTACGATGTCCAGGGAAGAGATTTTCAATACAGATGCCATTTGTTACCATCACCCTTCCTAAAGGAGAAGACACTTCTGCTTTTCTCGTCCCTGCCCTCACCTGCTAAAAAGGAGCAACTTCGAAGGGTCAGATAATCAGAATAAGGAATAAATAGTCTTTTACATTGAATACTTCTGGGCTTATCTTTTAAAATCTTCCTGCGTTGTCTTGGTTTTTCTCTTGTCACTCAAGAATTGGGAACCATGGCCCCAGACTTGTCTGCATTCAGGTCCGACAGTGGAGACTCCCACTCCAGCTGCCTTAAGGAGGGGATAAATTAACCACAAAATACCACTTTTAAATTATCTTTCATGTACCTCCTGGTACTAGTGTCCTTTTGCTGCCGTAACAAATTACCACAAATTTAGGGGCTTAAAACAACACAAATTTATTATTGTCCAGCTCTGGAGATCTGAAGTCCTAAAAGCAAGGTGTCAGTGGGGCTGCTGCCCTGTTGAAGGCTGCAGGGTGGAATCCACTTCCATGCCTTCCCAGCTTCCAGAGGCCGCTGCGCCCCTGGGCTTGCTTTGTCCCGTCTTGCAGTGCGTGGGCCTTGTCTCCTTCCCTCTTCATTCTGTCCCTGCTGCCTCCCCTTGTAAGGACCTCTGTGGTTGTGTTGGCCCACCCAGGTAAGCTGGGATATACTTGCAGTGTCCCCTTTGGCCATTGAGATGACATACTCGGGTTCTGTGGATTCGGATGGGACGTCTTTGGGGGGCCATTATTCTCATGCCATCCTTCCCCCTCCCACCCACTCCCTTGTTAAATACTCTTACATAGTTGAGTCTTTTAATTTGCCTTTACATACAGGATTATTTAGTCACTAATCCTAAAATGAGCAAAGGGCTGGGCCGGGCCATCCGTGTTGTGATCTTGATGCTGTTATGTGCTTTGGGGCCACGTGCATAAGGCCCCGTGGCTCTTTTTTTCTTATCTATATAATCATGGGGCTTTAGGCTCATCTCACAGTTAAATTTGAAGCTTCTTCTGTATCCATGTAGGAGATTTCCACCACTGCTTTTCACTGTCTACTTCAGGGATGGGGGGTTAGGCTATTGAAAGGTGAAACACGACAGGAGGAATCGTGTATGCACTTTACAAATTCACGTGTGCCCGAATGTATTCACACTTGACATGCGCCTTTTATTTCATTTCTCTTATCTTTGACATGTGTCCCCCCCCCATCTATAACAGAATAGGCATGCTGGCAGGGACACTGTTAAGAACTGTGGTAAATGCATTTATGGTTCCTGAAGGTGGAAGAATATAGTTACGCTGAACTGGGCAAGTTTAGCATATGCTCTGGGCTTTCTTTACCTGAAGCAGTTATTTCTTGTTAAAGATTCACTATAAAATGGTAAAAAACTTAATAACTACTAACAACCATCTTTCTCAGTTGAGAACACTGAAATTTTATGAATTTGGGGGAAAATATAGCAAAGGACCTGAGAAAGTAGAATTTTCTCTCTTTCCCTCTCTGTATATGGTTTTTGATAATTTAAGATTGTTGTGAATATGTGGTAGTGTGCTTGCTTTGGCTTTTTAAGGAGGATTCTGGTAGTGACAGAAGTCTTCATAGCAGTGAAAACAGCACACCTACAACCACACTAGAGGCCCTTGGCATTAACTGCGCGTTGACGGTTGTCCTTTGTGCAAACCCATCAGCAGCTTTATTTTCTTTAAGGCACCTTTGTGTTGTATATGCCTTTGTTTACATGACTCTATGAGGTAGGTGTCAGTATCCCTATTTTACAAGTTGATGTGCAAACCCATCAGCAGCTTTATTTTCTTTAAGGCACCTTTGTGTTGTATATATGCCTTTGTTTACATGACTCTATGAGGTAGGTGTCAGTATCCCTATTTTACAAGTTGAAACACTGAAGATAGAGAGGATAGGTCATTTGCTGGAGGCCACCCAGGTCTTCAGGGGTAGAGAGGTCTGTCTCCAGAGACCACGGACATGACAACAGGAAGGCTGCGTGGGTCTGAAGTGCTGGATGCCTTCCCAGCTGCGGGAGCTCGGGCCCCTCGGGGTGGGTGAGGCCAGCCCTCACACAGCTAAGCACCACATCACCCTGTCCTTGGAGGTGTGCGCATGGCATGTGGAAAGATGTATGGCCTCTGCTCTCGGTGGCTTCTATAGATGGGGACATTGAAACACACACCTCTGCAGTAAGGCCAGCTCATACGGAGCAAGATGCAGAAGGAATTCATTGTAGTGCGGTGCCATGGAGCTTCGGAGGAGCAGACCTGCGCTGCGAGAGCAGGCACACCCTGGGGCCTGGCTTTCTTGACCAGCTGCACCGTGGGGAGGACCAGTTGGTGAGGGAGGGCGAGTTGGTCCACATGGGTCAGGGACGGGCTAGCTTCTTTCTTTCAGTCAGAAGAGGGGCCCAGGGAAGGGAGTGTGTGGTTGGAAGGATGGTGAGGGGTGCTGGTCCAGGTGGTGGGAGGCCCGCCATGCTGGCAGGAGGAGTGTACAGGTGACAGGGTTAAGGAGAGTGTGAGAGATGCCCTGTGGTAAAGGTGCCACTTAAAGCTGGCCTGGTCTGGCTGGGGTATTCGGGATGGATGGGTGAGAGATTTGGGGGTTTTGAGGATGTTTTACACTGACTGTGGCACACCTTTAGGTAGACACCATTGCACAAGAGGAACACTGCTGTATGTGTGTGTATTTCTTTAGATTGAGGGCGGGCTAGTTGATTCCTTTTTGGGCCTTAAATTCTTTGTCACATCCTTTTTACGCCTGTGACAGTTGTCTTTCTTCCATATGCTTCAGCAAAAGTGTGATTGCGTTTAATGGGAGGACTTTTTAAATGCTTATCTAGGAGCAATATAACCCTTTTGCAAAATAGGAACAGCTTTATGTCACGATGAGCATTTGGGATTTCAGACATTTCTTGGCTATCCTTGTCAGTTTTAAGGATTTCTTCCTTATATTGGACATATTTTTATCTGCTGTGATTGTAATCTTGCCTGTTGGCTTAATATCAACATTGGCTATGTGATAATTTTTTTATTAATTTGGTTTCCAAAGGATATTCAGTTCATGTGCAGTTGGTAGTTAGAAAAATAGAAAAATCTATTAGTGGAAATAAAAGATGGTATATGAAGTAACAATTAAAATGTTAACATTGTTCTCAGTTTTCTTCCTATTACAAACATTCACTCATGTGGAATATTATTCAGGCATAAAAAGGAATGAAGTACATGGTATATAACGTGGATGAACCTTGAAGACATTACGCTAAGTGACAGAAGTCAGACATAAAAGGACAAATACTGTATGATTCTACAAATATGAGGCACCTAGAGTAGTCAGTTCACAGAGACTGGAAGTAGATTAGAGGTTACCAGGGGCTAGGAGGAGGAGATTGGGGAGTTAATGCTTAATGGGTACTGGTTTCTGTTTGGAGTGATCGAAAAGTTTTGGAACTAGATAGTGGTAATGATTGTACAGTATTGTGACTGTAATGAACCATTGAATTGTACACTTAAAAATGGTTAAAATGGAAAATTTTACATCATATTTATTTTACGACAATTGTAAAGCTCACTTATGGTTGTCTGGTGTTATGGGTAGTTAGGAATATCTCCTACTTAAACTAACGGTTCTTTATATTTGTCTATGAAAGAAAAGGCTACTTTTGTGGGTATCAGAGAGGATGATCCAGGCAAAGACTGAATGCATTTCAATGTTAAAAATAAACAAAAACAACCCAGCACAGTCACTTCTACCTCTATTAATATATTTTTTTTACCTTTTTTCTTAACAGCTTTTTATAATTATGATGCCAGGGGAGTGGATGAACTTTCATTACAGATAGGAGACACTGTGCACATCTTAGAAACATATGAAGGTGCGTATACATTTCTCTTACTGTTTTGGGCAGTTGGCACACTTCTCCAATGCTTACTGGGCAGAGCATTGCCCTGCTAGAAAAATGTTCTTAATCGTGTTCTGTTCTCATGATGCGTTTTCTTGCAGATGGATGTTGTTCAGGTGAGGGCGGTAGTGAAACTGTTATTTAGATACTGCATTATTAAGATGAACATAAAGCTAAAAATCCCCCTTCTCTTTCTTTTTTGGGCAGCTGGCAGGTATGGGATCCAAACCCTGGACCTTGGTGTTACAACACTGTGCTCTATCCAACTTAGCTAACCAGACAGCCCTAAAAATTCCCATTTTTAACTTCTTAAAAAAAAAAACAAAACAAAAACACTTACTTTGGCTCCTTATTTTGCAAGTGTATGTAAATCATGATTGTTAATAACTGACCACTTGGTAATGAATACACGTAAGGTATTTTAGTTTTTAGATCATTGTTTTGATGTGTTTGATATGAATTATGAGATTTTTTTATGCCCCCATTTGGATTTGTTAGCAGCATGTCTCAGAAGAATCACAGTTGTCACTTCTTATTTCCTGTCCTTCTTCTTTAGCCTTCAACCCCCATTTTCTTAGGGGCAAGCAGAGATTGTCACAGTTGTGTGAGATGTGGTCCTGTGAAGCGGTCGTTATAATTATCCAATAAATATAGTGTTGGTGACAGTGGTTTTCTGATGTCTTTTGTTTTTCAGACAATTGGTTTTCATAGTCAGTGTTTAGCAAATAATTTGAGCAGGCCATCTTTTATTTTATGCTATGATTTTTGTTGCACAGAAGGCAAGCAATGATGGCCTTGGATCTAGAGGTTCTGGAAGATTGTGTTTTCGTCTTTTGGGCATACGAATAAAAAGAACTGGTTAAAATAGATAATTTCAGTAGCAAAATTGTTTTACACAGGGTTTAGCTAAACCCTTCCAAATGGGAGGTAGGGGTGGGAGAGGAAGTTGTAGACATCACACAGTAATCAACAAATCAAATTGAACCTCCAGCTCTGTCTTTGAAGTCCACTTTGCACAGGGGTGAAGCGGCACTGAGCTTCCGTGCTCCAGGCAAGCCACGGCTAGTTCCAGGGCTCCCCGTAGACACTTCTGAGAAGCGCAAACCTATTAAAATACTCAACGTTTGTACCTCTTATTTCCTCGTCTGATGCATGCTGATTTAGAATTTCATTCCATTTGCACATTTTACCCTAAAAAAGTCCTGTCTGAAAAGAAATCGGCTTCAGTGGCCTGTGCCTGGAAGCAGATGCAACTCTGCAAACACAGACCCGGTCCTTGGGAACCAGGAGTTGCAAGGGCTCCTGCTCATTTGCAGTTTTTGCAGCTGACATTGGATTTCCTTATCTCCTCTCAGTACATACTGCCAGCGGCTGAGAGGAAACACAGGAAAATTAAGGAGAGGTTAAGGATCAAACCTCTCATCTGAGGCCCTTTTCTGATGGGGTGGGGGATGCCCTTATATCTTTTTACTTTTCCTGCTGGTCAGTTGAAGCTGAGATCCTGGTTAATAGACACTGGGCAGTGATGTCATTCCTGAGTTGTCAGTGATTTCCTGTGGCGCCTGGACATGTGGGGACCGCAGTTTCTCGTTCTTTGCTTTGTAGGAAGAATGTGTTCTTTAAACAGTGGAATCTTTAGGCGCTGGTGATACAGTGAACTTCAAAAAAACTTGGATAACAGGCATTTGACTTTTTGGCTGACGCCATTACAAGGGGCGTTCAGTGAGCTTTAATTTTCTGGGTGAGTCAATCTCCTTAGATTCTGGCTAAAATATTTCAGACGTTGTGAAGACTCTTTATCATCAACTGAATTCCCCTTCCTCGACAACCAACTTTAATCAGAGTCTGACTGGAGACATGCATTCGAGGAGGCAGTTCTGACTTTGAGAGACTCGATGACTTCATCACCATCCAACAGAAGTGGCACGGTGTTCTTCCATCCGTTTGCCAGCTGCTTCCCTCTTCTGTTTGGATCTCATGGGTTGTGTTAGCTTTGGGGCTTTTCCCTTTTTTTCCTCTCTCCTTCCCGCTTTTCCCCTAAGAAAATTTTTCTGTTTGTCAAGGTAAATTGTGTTTATCTGTGTGATCCTTTTCAGGATATTACTAAGCTTGCTCAGAGGATATAATTTCTAGATGATCACTCTTTAATGTAAGGTTCAAAGAGCAAATTTACCTTCAAGTTATGGTTAATTTCTCTCTTGGGATCATGAAGGCTTAGAACATAGAACAAAGAAAGGAACTTCCCAGGTCCCTGTGGGAGTGGGAAGAGCTGTGAGGGGTCGTTCATGACAAGCTCCTGCCTTTAAGCAGTGTTCAGGGTCAGCCAGACCCAAGAGGTTGACAAGGTCCCAGGTGTTTATTAAGTGACTCTTGTGTGGTCAGGGGCGTGCCAGTGCTGCTGTCTTGTTTCTCTAGTGCCCGGGGGCTGGATGCTGCACCTGAGGGAGGCTGCAGGCCTTGCTCACAGATTAGGAAATTATCTTTTTGATTTAGCCACAACATTGGAACTTAATTTATTCAAATTTATAAAAGTGACAATGATATATTTTCTTCCAAAATGACCCGACTGCTATTTTCCTGGGCTGGGCTGTGCCCTCCCCGAGTTCGGGGACTGTGTCTTGCCCATATTTTCCTGTCCCTTGGGTGGGTGTCTCCTGCTTGGAGCAGGTTGGTTGACTGTAGGGAGGCCACTAGCAAACCCTACCCAGAAGAAGTTAACCAGCCTGGTAATGCTGCCAGCTGTGTGTCTTCCTGCTCCGAGGCTCATCCTCTCTTCACCATTCCCCACAGAGCCGCCATTGATCATTCTGTTAAGTCTGCCATTCCCCTGCGTAACCCTCTACCATGACAAACTCTCCCCATCTTCACGCTAAACTCTATCGTGCAGCATGGTTTGTGTTTGATCCCTGCTTGTCTCAGGAGCCTTCCAGTTTGTGAGCTCATCAAGGGCAGAGGTTGGGTCTCATCTTTTCCGTGCTGGTGCCACCTGGTGCTGTCTCTGGCACCTAGTGTGGGGGCTCAGTTAGTTGAAGGTGTAATACATGCAAAAAACCTTAGGGAGGCAAACCATAGGTATTCATTTTGCTGAGGAACTGCATTGAAAAGGAAACTACTGGGCCGGCCCGGTGGCGCACTGGAGAGTGCGCTGCGTGCTCCCGCCGAGCGTTCGGATCCCATGTGGAGATGACCGGTTCCCGCTCACTGGCTGAGCGCGGTGCGGGCGCAACACTGAGGGTTGCGATCCCGTTACCGGTCAGTAAAAAAGACAAAAAAGGAAAAAAAAAAAAGGAAACTACTGTCTGTCAACATTAGGTAAAACAAAAGACTCCCTGCCTTGTATCCTCAGGGCTCCCCCTTTTCCTCCTCCTCCCCATAGCAATGCTTCCGCTGTGTTCAAAGTGGACGCTTCTGTTTGCCTGTGCTCTCCTACCGTTTGATGTGCATGTGTTTTTAATGGATGTCGGTGTGGTTATGGCTCTCATTCTGTTTCTTACTTTTCCCTTATGCTCTATTTTAAGGTGTTCTTCAGTTGCCATGTCTGTTTACTCCATGGCTTTAACTGCTGCCTTGTGTGACTGTCCCGTGTTATACTAACTGCCCTCCAGTTATGGGCATTCGGGTTGTCTCCACTTCCTGCCACCTGAGATCAACTGCCCCAGGCATCCTGTGTCTGTCTGACTATGCACGGGCCTGCGGATGTCTTTGGGCTGCGATCCCTGGAGGGGTTGCTGGCTTTTGGGTGTGGGACACTGACTCTGGAGGAGCCAGGCCTGCTGCTGCCACACGGGTTGTTACAGTCTACACTTCTGCCCACAGTGCCTGGGGCTGCCCATCTCTTGCAGCATTTTGGTTGCTGCGACTCTTAATAATTGTGTAGTGATACCATGTTTTAAGCTCTCATTTCTCTGATTATTATTAAGTTTGGGCATCTCTTCATACTTGTGCAAGTCTTTTGGATTTCTTCTTCTATACTTTGTTTATATCGTGCATATTTTTGCTTGGTTGCTGTCTTTTTCTGGTCTCTTCGTAGTATTTTCTTATGCATTGTAGGGCATTAATCCTTTGTCAGTTTCAGAAAAGAATGGACGTATTAATGCTGAAAATCACGGAAGGGTTTAATAACAGGATAAAGAACAGTCCTTTAAATTGGGTAAATTCAGCTTTGGAACAACTCATTATAGGGACCTTCCATTCTTCCCTTTTGTTGTCCGTGAACACCACGTCATAGACGGGCACTGGTCCTGGGCTGGCTGTCACTGTGCCAACATTATGGCCATCAGGAGATCATCATTCACACGTATGGCTGAAATCTAGCCGTTTTCTATCAGCAGTACCCCTAGTCAAACCGTTCCGTCCCCATGTCAAGAAGGTGAAGTTGATTCAACTGATCGTAAGTGGGTCTTGACGCCTTCGCAAGGGTCCTGGGAGTTTTTGTCTTCTTTTCCAAATGTTTAGAAAACACCTTTATATGAGTCTCTTGAGGATTTTGCTTATTTTAACACCATCACTTTTTGGCTGATAATCATCCTCTTCATTCCTGGTTGTTAAAATCGTTACTTTTTGAGAGATGTGGTGGGCAAATTGCTGCAGCATTTGCCCATGTTCAGTTTTGTCTGAGCTGCTCTCTCTGTCATACATCTTTGACTTCTTTTTCTTTCTTTGGCAGCTGGCCAGGGACCAAACCTGGGGTCTTGGTGTTATCAGCGCCACGCTCCGACCAACTGAGCTAACCGACTAGCCCCCATCTTTTGCCTCTGAGGTTTGACCTTCTGTGCTAGTGTATAAACCCCCAATATTTAGTTATTCTCTAGGAGCTTTTCCCCACTTATGCTTTCTAAGTGCTCCCCATAAGTCTCCGGTGGGGTCCTTTTGCTACTGTGGGATTTCAGTTGGGATTTGTCTCTAAGCTTTTTTAAAAAATTTTTTTTAATTTTTAATTTTTATTCACTTGTTTTTGACTCTGAGCTTTTGATTTGCTTTCTGGAAGCGAGGTGGCCTGCAGTGACATCATAATGTTTGGGGTAAGAAAATGTCCTTCTGATGTCATGCAGAGGTGGAATTGTCGGGAGATTGGCTGCTGGCCGTGGACCCCTGGCATTTGCAGGGATGAGTGAGTGCCCTCAGCCTGGTGCTCAGGGTGTGGTCAGGTCTGGTCTGTTGTTGAAAGGACTCTTCCATTCAGTGTTAAATGCATGTGGACAGTTCGAGCATGTCAGTCTTTCTGCTCTCACTGTTTTCTTTCTTTCACCCACATGGAAGGAATGGGAAGTTGGGTCAAGGCCAAACCCGAAAGGGATAGGTGGGCCCATGCTTGGCCCTGGTGCTTCCTGCTAAGGGCTGTGTCTTTGCCACAGAAGTACTTTGTGAGATGGTGGGTGCTTCAGGGTGAAGCCCCTCCCTACTGAAGAGGGAGGAAGTTAGCTCTCAATAGGTTTTCTGTTTCGGGACAGCTCTTGATGATCTGAGGATGCTGGTATGTGCGCTTGTGGAGACCCTGATCCAAATCTGGCAGAGGGAGAGAGGAAATGCATACATGAGGAGCCTAGTCAGGGACAAGTGGTTATGGGACAAGCCCTCTTCTTGGCACTGTGCATCTTATCTTGAGGTTGCTGCTTCAGGGCCACGGGAGGCCAAGGGAGGTGGAGAAGTGGAGATCCACGTGTGAAGGTTACTAGCCAAGTGGCAAGTTTACCTTGAAATGCTCTCTCAGAAACCCCATAGTGTATCTCTAAAGCATTCGGCTTGTTGAATTCTAGTGACAAACTGACTTCCCTGGTTCTGCAAAATTATGGGTTCTACACACCATCAAGGTATTGTTAGGACCCTGTTATGTCTCCTTGTACTAACTTTTCAACTTTGTGTTTGTTTAGGGTGGTACAGAGGTTACACCTTAAGAAAAAAGTCTAAGAAGGTAAGTTCTTTTTATTAAATACAGTGCATGTCCCTTCATAAATCACAGTGTGAGAGGAAATCAGTTCCGTCTCATTTGTGTCCTGGAGTTTTACTTCTATATCTCTTTCTCTGAATTTAAAAAAAAAAACATGGGTTGGAATCTGAAGTAGCTTGAATGGTTTTCTTCAGAACAATATGCGTGCGTAGAAATTGCAGCTTCGGGCCGGCCCGGTGGCGCACTGGATAGTGCGCCGCTTGGGAAGCGCGGCGGCGCTCCCGTCCGAGGGTTCGGATTTGGAGTTTTACTTCTATATCTCTTTCTCTGAATTAAAAAAAAAAAAAACATGGGTTGGAATCTGAAGTAGCTTGAATGGTTTTCTTCTGAACAATATGCGTGCGTAGAAATTGCAGCTTCATTTCCATGAGTGAGTTGCTGGCTGGTGAAACGGTGTGGGCCTGTTGTCGTGAAAGGTGGAGTCCTTCTTTTCCTGATAGAATGGTACTGTATGTGTAAGAGAATGATCTGGGTATAATGACTTCAGGAAAAAAAAAATGCTGCTCACCACTTTCAGTCTTATAGCATCACTGATGATAAATTAACAAATTTGCAAAGCTCATGCATGCTCGTTTCTCACTTGCTCATAACTATTTTGACACTGCTTATGTTGTGTTGCAAGAAAAGGAGTTCTGCCCTACTAGAGCAGTTTGCATGTGTGTTGGTTTGAATTTTTGAAACAGAGACATGTCATTACATGTAATTACACTGCAGATCGTTGTGGTGGACACTCCCGTACACAATTCTGTTGTGGCTTTAACATTCTTAGCTTCACAAAACCTAATTATGGCTCTTCTGTTTTATTCTACGATATTATGATTTTGATGTACTGTCCATTCTAAGCTGTGGTTAGGCTGTCCATGTTAACTTATACATTTTAATATCTAATTATACTTGACAGATGGTTCATTTTATTTCCGTGTCTTAAATTTACGTCTCATTATCTCCTTATTGGGCTGCACTCCCAGTTGTGGTCCTGAGCCTTTAATAAGGCTGCCAAAGTCCAGTGTCTCGAGTGCCAGGGCCTTCCTGCTCTGCCTTCCCCAGAGGCCTTGGACCGGGCTGTGCCGAACAACAGGCTAGAGCTCCATGAGGCCATGAAGCTCTTCAACCTCTTGCAGCACAGTCTCTTGGGAAGGATCCAGGCTGGTCCCCATGGCAGCCTTCCTCCCTCAAGTCATGTAGGTATTCCAGTGTGAGAGACACTATTAGGAGTATTAGTGTGCCACATCTGCAGCTTGGAGAAAGGAACTCCCACCTCAATCCTGCTAAGTGCAGACTGGGCTATGGGTCTTTGGACAAGAAACGTTTCAACCAAGTGATGGTAGAATAGATTTCTCCAAGGAAAGTTCTATTTTCACATTGATTTTCCCTTCTACAATCAATAGTGCATTACTGCAGATGAAACCCTGAGTTTCATCTGGAAGAGTGATGGGTGCAGACTTTAGAAAAAAAGAGATTAGGATCATGGACTAACATTCCCTCCCTCACCCTATCCCTATATGGGCTGGGTGTGCCCCAGGCGAGCTGTTCGCTTTCCTTTGATGCTTACTTGGTATTTGGTATGTGTTTTCACCTTCCTCAATTTGGGATCTGTCCCATTCCTCCAGGGTCTCCCTGACCATAGTACTTCCTGTCTGCACTGGGGTGCCCAGACATTGCAGCTCATTGACACAGTAGAGTTGGGTAGGTGGTGTGGCTACTTTTCCATCTCAGCTCCTCACTGTCAGATGAGGACATCAAAGCCTTACAGAGGTTTTAATTTTACAAGCACCGCCCCACCCCCACCCCAGGCAGTAGCAGAGAAGAGATGTGGCCCCTAAGAGTCCTGACTCCAAGTGTTCTGTAAACATCTTTTGTGTAGATATTGACAAACGTGCAGTTGATCTGGGCTGGTACTGAACAGGCCCAGCCAAAGTTGCTCATTTCAAACNCAGTGCATGTCCCTTCATAAATCACAGTGTGAGAGGAAATCAGTTCCGTCTCATTTGTGTCTTGGAGTTTTACTTCTATATCTCTTTCTCTGAATTAAAAAAAAAAAAAACATGGGTTGGAATCTGAAGTAGCTTGAATGGTTTTCTTCTGAACAATATGCGTGCGTAGAAATTGCAGCTTCATTTCCATGAGTGAGTTGCTGGCTGGTGAAACGGTGTGGGCCTGTTGTCGTGAAAGGTGGAGTCCTTCTTTTCCTGATAGAATGGTACTGTATGTGTAAGAGAATGATCTGGGTATAATGACTTCAGGAAAAAAAAAATGCTGCTCACCACTTTCAGTCTTATAGCATCACTGATGATAAATTAACAAATTTGCAAAGCTCATGCATGCTCGTTTCTCACTTGCTCATAACTATTTTGACACTGCTTATGTTGTGTTGCAAGAAAAGGAGTTCTGCCCTACTAGAGCAGTTTGCATGTGTGTTGGTTTGAATTTTTGAAACAGAGACATGTCATTACATGTAATTACACTGCAGATCGTTGTGGTGGACACTCCCGTACACAATTCTGTTGTGGCTTTAACATTCTTAGCTTCACAAAACCTAATTATGGCTCTTCTGTTTTATTCTACGATATTATGATTTTGATGTACTGTCCATTCTAAGCTGTGGTTAGGCTGTCCATGTTAACTTATACATTTTAATATCTAATTATACTTGACAGATGGTTCATTTTATTTCCGTGTCTTAAATTTACGTCTCATTATCTCCTTATTGGGCTGCACTCCCAGTTGTGGTCCTGAGCCTTTAATAAGGCTGCCAAAGTCCAGTGTCTCGAGTGCCAGGGCCTTCCTGCTCTGCCTTCCCCAGAGGCCTTGGACCGGGCTGTGCCGAACAACAGGCTAGAGCTCCATGAGGCCATGAAGCTCTTCAACCTCTTGCAGCACAGTCTCTTGGGAAGGATCCAGGCTGGTCCCCATGGCAGCCTTCCTCCCTCAAGTCATGTAGGTATTCCAGTGTGAGAGACACTATTAGGAGTATTAGTGTGCCACATCTGCAGCTTGGAGAAAGGAACTCCCACCTCAATCCTGCTAAGTGCAGACTGGGCTATGGGTCTTTGGACAAGAAACGTTTCAACCAAGTGATGGTAGAATAGATTTCTCCAAGGAAAGTTCTATTTTCACATTGATTTTCCCTTCTACAATCAATAGTGCATTACTGCAGATGAAACCCTGAGTTTCATCTGGAAGAGTGATGGGTGCAGACTTTAGAAAAAAAGAGATTAGGATCATGGACTAACATTCCCTCCCTCACCCTATCCCTATATGGGCTGGGTGTGCCCCAGGCGAGCTGTTCGCTTTCCTTTGATGCTTACTTGGTATTTGGTATGTGTTTTCACCTTCCTCAATTTGGGATCTGTCCCATTCCTCCAGGGTCTCCCTGACCATAGTACTTCCTGTCTGCACTGGGGTGCCCAGACATTGCAGCTCATTGACACAGTAGAGTTGGGTAGGTGGTGTGGCTACTTTTCCATCTCAGCTCCTCACTGTCAGATGAGGACATCAAAGCCTTACAGAGGTTTTAATTTTACAAGCACCGCCCCACCCCCACCCCAGGCAGTAGCAGAGAAGAGATGTGGCCCCTAAGAGTCCTGACTCCAAGTGTTCTGTAAACATCTTTTGTGTAGATATTGACAAACGTGCAGTTGATCTGGGCTGGTACTGAACAGGCCCAGCCAAAGTTGCTCATTTCAAACTTCTAGCTGTGTCCAGCTCATCCCATCACTATCTCTCCTGTGGCTTCATGATTCTTGAGTGGGTTTGCTGAGATGAGGGGTATCTCTGCTTGTGGACATAGTGTATTAGTTCATTTTCTGTCACTTATTACAGTACCTGAAACTGGATAATTTATAGGAAAATGAAATTTATTTCTTACAATGTAGAGGCTGGGAAGTGGGAGGTCGAGGGACCACATTTGGTGAGAGCCTTCTCCTTGGTGGGGACTCTCTGGAGATTCCCAAGGCAGTGGAGTGTAGCACATGGCAAGGGGGGAGAGTGCATGCCAGTTGCTTCTTCCTGTCCTTATAAAGCCATCAGTCTCCTCCCATGATAACCCATTAGTCTGTTAACTCATTGATCCATGCATGGATTAAAATGAACTAATACACTCATGGGCAATACCATATTTGTGATTAAGCTTCATCAAGAACTTTGGAGGTACAAACATTCAACCCACATCCTGTGGGTAGGACTGGGATTGGCTTGTTTGTTGGTTTTCTTCCCCTGCCTGAGCGTACACCTATTGGCATCGTAGAAAGATGCCAATTTAATTTAATGTGCACCTACCTGGAGACCATCCTGGGATTTGGACATGTCCTGGATAACCATGCCCCACGCCTTCCCCAAGCATGCTTAGTAGTTTGGTTTTTGGACCTCCTGTGTAAATCCTATGGGACCTGATGCTAGGGAAATCCAATCAGAAGCTCCTCACCCTGAAAGTCACAGGGCTGCCACTTACTGGATTTCTGCTGCACGCACTCATCTCATGTAGTAAGTGGTAGTTGGCTTGTGTTGTGCTGCCCAAGACCCTAGCCAGCCATGGTACCCCATTTCTTGTCTTTCCTGTGCTTGCCTCTGCTTTACTCCAGGAAGAGGGTTATTTTACTTGCTCAGAAAGCAGCACCAAAACTCATGATAAAGCTCCTCCTGGGACTTCACGGACTATGTGTGGTGCTGAACATCCTGTTGAGAAACTGTCTCCCTTGAACTCTGTTCTTTTGGACTCATGTCCATTATATTTTGAGGATGCAGAGTACCATGTAAATGTAAGCAGATGGGCTCCCCCATTAGTTGTGCAGATTGGGTGAAATCTGGCCTGCCTTTCCTGTACTTTACCAGATGCACCTCTGTTTGGAGATTTATGAGAAAGTCCCTGTGGGTCTAGGTAAGTGGTCAGTTCCCAAGTGATGGTCAGTGGCTTAAATCAACTTTCAATGACAATTTTATCGCTTTGAAAGGGAGAACTTACTGACAGTCAATTCTGTACCCATAAATATGTGTAATCAATTATGTTTCAATTAAAAAAAAAGAAAAAGAAAAGGGGAACTATCAGAGACCATCATGAAAAATTGCTCTTTAGGCGTCAGGTGGCCTTTGGTCTGCCTGTGTCGAGGTCAGCAGTGGAAACAAGGTGTGGTCCATGGAGAAGACGAGAGTTTTTCCTTTGTAGACACATCATCTGTTTTCTTTCTGAGACATTGGTAGACTCCTTGAAATGATTGTGTTGCCGTCTTTTATACTTCTTTGTGTTTTCTTTGATATGTTGTATATGAGGCTTAGCACAAGACTTAAAAAATTGATAGTGATTCTACCACCCCTACCCCACCTTTGTGGGGGCAATGGTTTGATTGGCAATCCGTTATTCATATTGATAACAAAAACTGCCATCTTTTTTTTTTTCTCCCAAAGGGTATATTTCCTGCTTCATATATTCATCTTAAAGAAGCGATAGTTGAAGGAAAAGGGTGAGTCTGGTCTTGATGTTAAATGAAGAACTGCAGTGAGTATATTTGGCCTTGCTGCTCTTTGTGTGTTATGGTGATATTAGGGGTTATGACAGCAGATGTGATTGACTATGATGGGACAGCAGTCTGGGGGAAAGGGAGGGGACTTGTGATTCGGAGTCATCTGGAGTCTGCAGCCATTCTCCTTGAGCTTGAGGTCAGCTTTGGAAAGCGCAGGTCCTAGTGCTGTGCACTTCCCGTGTAAGCTACCCCACTCAGCAGAGACTCCACAGCCCCCAGCTCTGAGTCTGTTTTTCTGGAGCACTTTGTAGACTGTTTATAAGTGGAGTTTAGAGTGAAGCAACAGTTGTTAAATTGGGACATGTATGAATTTACATTTTTGTCTAGTGGTGATGTATGTTTCCTAGAGGTCATAGAACTGACATATAAGGTCATTAAAAGGACATTTGTGGGGCAGGAGCCCGTTAGGCAGGAGTGGTAAATGAATGACCAGGTGTGTGTGAGCTTGGAAGAAGGAACATTAAAACATTTTCTTTATATAAAATGTCTCTGCTATATCTTCATACTCAGTTAAGTATGTAAATTATAAAATTACTCATCATATGATTACTGCATAATGATGTCTCTGGCTGATTACAAAATTGCCTTTCCGAGCGCTGTACTTTTAACGTGTGAAGGGGGCTGTTCAGGTTCTCCAGTTCCATGATGCAAAATTAAAATGAAGAAAATAATCGAAAGGCATGGATGGTGATGACATCTGCAATGTGGCATTTTCTTAGGCAGATAAAAGGTTTTATATGCAAAGTATTAAGAGTAAGAAAAACAAAGGAAAGTTTTGAAACTTTTACCCTATTGTGGAAAGAACTGAGTGAAGTGTGCATTTAATGCACTTTATATCTGCATCAGAATCAGTATTAAGAGTAAGAAAAACAAAGGAAAGTTTTGAAACTTTTACCCTATTGTGGAAAGAACCGAGTGAAGTGTGCATTTAATGCACTTTATATCTGCATCAGAATCAAGTCAGATTGTATATGGCAACGATTTTTCAAAAAGCACTTTGGTGTATACAAAAGAATTTATGGAAAATATAATTGTGAATCATAATAAAGTGAACACAAGATATTATTTTGATTTTTCAATAAGTAGAGTCTCACCCACCCAGATAGGCAGACAGAGACACTTCTGGTTCCTGTCACTGGGTGTTCTGGGCCAGGGTGCCCCACTGGGCAGAGGACAGAGCAATGGTGAACAGTTTAGAAACAATCTCCTCGCCAATGTCTGGGTTCCCTGTGTTGTTCCCCATGCTCATTACCCTGCCCCGACTGTCTCCTTGCTGCCCCCACCCAAACCCAGCTGCCCAACTGCTCCCTCTTGCGAAGAACCTCCACGTTCAGACTTGGCAGGTGTATTAGACCATTTGTGCTGCTTATAACAGAATACATGGAATTGGGTGATTTATAAAGAAAAACGAAATTTATTGCTTACAGTTTCCGAGGCTGGGAAGTCCAAAGTCCATCTGGTGGTGGCAACAGTGACCCAGGGGTTTCATATTGCAAGATGGTGGAAGCAGAGAGAGCAGAGAGAGACTCTATTCTTCTTTTAAAGCCCTCAGAACCATGCCCCTGACACCATTATTAATCCATCCACTACTGCACAGTCCTACAATCCAATCACCTCTTCAAGGCTCCACCTTTCTATTTCCATAATAGGATTTCCCACCCTCTTAACAATCACAGTGGGGGCTAAGTTTCTAATACACATAACATGGGGGATACAATTCAAGCCTCAATGAGTTTTGGGGGGACATAATTCAACCCACTACAACAGGGCGTCTTACCCCCTCCTCCTTTCCACCAGATTGCTGCAGACATCCACCTTCCCTTCCTCTCCAATGTCAGTGCAGGCCACTCTTGCATCCCACCCCTGCCTACCTTCTTGCTCTCCAAGTTCATTATCCCATCACTCTTGCAGGGTCTCTCTCTATTGAAGGATCTCTCTTGCAGGCTCTCTCTCTCTTGTAGAATTTCTCCCGCAGGATCTCTTGCCTGGTCTCTCTCTGTCTCTGGACACTGGCCTTCTTTCAACTCTCAGACATCCCAAATGATTGCTGTATGCCTGCTGTCACTGGTTTTGTATACCTTTTCCTCCATAACCAAAGCAGTTCCCATCTTGACCCGTGTCTTGTACTGACATGGTCACCAGTGCCTCCTTATTTCCACACTTCACACTGTCGTCTCAGTCCTTCTCTCTCAGAGCTTTCCTGCTGCTCCCTTATCCCCTGTCTATTGTTACTCTGACCTACTGCTCAGGTGCCCACAGTCTTCTTTCCCTGCCTGCTGCTCTCAGGGTGCTGTCCTTGGCCTCCTTCTAATTCTTTGCGACCCCTCCCTTTTGACATGGCCTCTGTTCCCTTCACGTCTCCAGCTCTTCCCACTCTACGGGGGATGCTCGGATGGGAACCCCCAGCCCTGACCTGTCTCTTGACGTCCTGTTTGATTATGCAGAACTGTAGTAACTAATGAGAATCACCACTGCCAGCTGAGCGTCTATGTCCCATTCATTCTTTTATTAAATTATATTTTGTTTTTAATTGAGAAATAAAAATGATATATATTGATGGTATACAGCATGATGCTTTGAAGCATGTGTGCATTGTGGAATGACTAAATCAAGCTAATTAACACATGCATTACCTCATGTACTTATTTATTTGTGATGAGAACACTTAAGACCTACTCTCAGTAATTTTCAAGTGTATGATACGTTGCTATTGACTGTGGTCACCCTGTTGTGCAACAGATCTCTTGAACTCGTTCTAATCTGACTGAATTTCTGTGTCCTTTGACTAGCATCTCCCCAGTCCCACCCCTCCCCCATGTTTCAGTCCTTCTGACAGATGCTCAGCCATGACATACCTTCCCTTAGTCTCATCAACAGCCCTCTGAGGCTGGCATCATTGGGTTTGTATATTCCTGACCCCTGGCAGGTAACAAGGTGACAACAAAGATAACAAGATGGAGGAAGATCAGATACGTTAGTGCCAGTTGGCGTGTTAGACCAAGGGACAGATCAGGCCTATCCAAAGGGAGGAAGGTATGAAGGAACCAGAACTGAGGCCAGGACGGGGAGCATGCGTGGATGTGGTGAAGCGGGTCTAACTGAGCTCTAAGCTTCTGGTAGCCAGTGTGAAGAGCTGAGATTCAGGTTCTGTGCGATGGACACAGCCCTAGTGGTGATGAGTGTCCTCACTGAGTGGAGAGAAATTTCTCCCTGCAGGCTTCAGGAGGATGACATTTGTTTTAGTCCATTTTGTGTTGCTATAACGGAAATACCTGAGACTGGGTAATTTATAAAGGAAAGAGGTTTATTTGGCTTACGATTCTGGGACAGCTGCATCTGGCATGGGCCTCAGGCTGCTTCTACTTATGGTGGTAAAACTACAGGCAGCTGGTGGGTACGAGCAGATCACATGGCGAAAGGAAGCAAGAGAGCGAGAGGAGGTGCTAGGGTCCTATAAACAATAAGCTGTTGCGGGAACCAACAGCGAGAACTCACTCATTAATCCTCCCTCCCCCAGGGAGAGCACCAATCCATTCATAAGGGNATTTGGCTTACGATTCTGGGACAGCTGCATCTGGCATGGGCCTCAGGCTGCTTCTACTTATGGTGGTAAAACTACAGGCAGCTGGTGGGGACGAGCAGATCACATGGTGAAAGGAAGCAAGAGAGCGAGAGGAGGTGCTAGGGTCCTATAAACAATAAGCTGTTGCGGGAACCAACAGAGCGAGAACTCACTCATTAATCCTCCCTCCCCCAGGGAGAGCACCAATCCATTCATAAGGGATCCATCCCCATGACTCAATCAGCCTCCAACACTGCCACATTGGAGATCAAATTTCCACTTGAGTTTTGGAGGAGACAACACATCCAAACTCCATCAACATTGTAGAAAGTAATGAACCACATTTTCATCAACTTCCTTCCTTGACAACAGGGTTGGCTTGGCTGTTTTAGTAGTAGTCGTGTCCCTCGGTAGACATGGGTGATGTCCTATCACGCGGTAATTCTTAACAGCAGTTCTGGAGGGTGTGGTCTCTTATGCACCCTCCCTTAGAAATCTGGTTCTAGACCCCTCCACAGAGACCAATGTTCTTTCAGGGACTCCGTTGCCTCTTCCCTTGGGAGCCTTTCACCATCAGTAAGTCATTGCAGGTCTGAACCCCAATTGTGAACCAAAATCGGGGCTCCTTCCACAAGTCTGGGCTCCATGCAACTCAAGGGATATAGCTGGGACCTACTGCAGTGTCCCTTGACACGGCATGCTTGCCAGATGGGGCCGGGTAGCCTCGCAGCACAGACCACAAATTCCATCTCTTACCCAGTCCCAAATAGGGTCTTATTTAGCATAGTGCCCCACTCACAGTATGCGACAGAAACAATGGTCGATGTGACCAATACTAATCTGTAAATAGATAACAATTAAGAATTAGTCAAGGGTTAACTTTTTAGGGTGGAAGGATAAGGGCAAGAGAGAAATCAGTTGGGATCAGAGAGTCTTCAGGGACATTTGACAGCTGTAACCTCTGTCCTATTTTGGGAAGTATAACTGCTTCATGTATTATCATATAATGAGTTTTATGCATGATGGAAATGAACACATAATCTTACAAACCTACATTTTAATGCCACACAGACCAGTTGTAATTTATGGCATCTGTAGGATGGATGGGTACACATATTATGAATACACTTTCTTCTTCCCAGACCTTGACGTTCCGAGGACTTTTAATAGTATATTACTCGCTTCCTTCGCCTTACATTGACATGCAAGGTGGATGGCTTACATGCAGGGTAATGCGTGCACATCCTTCAGCGCTGCACAGTATTGCTTGTCACTCTGTATGTGTGAACACAGTCTTCTTTGTGTATTTTTCTTTCCATTTGCTTAAATATTAAATTCCATGGCCTAGATCTGGAATTTACCAGGTGCATTTCACAGCAGTTAATGAAGCTGTGCCCTCAGCTGCTTTTTCCTTCTTTCATCCCAGGCAACATGAAACGGTCATCCCAGGCGACCTCCCCCTCATACAGGAAGTCACCACAACGCTCCGAGAGTGGTCTACCATCTGGAGACAGCTCTACGTGGTAAGAAAAGGAGATGTTAAATCAAAACTTAAAAATATAGGATGGTCTCTTTGAACCTTGCTGTACCAGTGAGATGGTTTTCCTTTCCCTGGGAACCTTAACATGGTCTTTGATATGGGACATGTCATGTTCTGGGACATGGTCTTACTCAGAAAGGGCAAAGAAAGCAACATGGCCCATGAGTGGGGCCATCGTTGGGGGTTGAGTGCCCTTTGACCTGCCTTGTGTTGGGGTGCAGCTATGCTCACTGTAATCAAGTAGACTGTAAAGGAAGGGACCATGGGATTGGTCTTTCCTTGTGTTAAATAGGGAAACATGCTTGCTTCAAGGCCCCTGGAAGACAGGATTAGGCAATCTGTGTTGATGTCACTCAGTTTATATTTTGATCATGAAAACTAAAATCTGCTTTTAAACAGTGATAGGTGCTTATTTATGGGTATGGTTAAGGGTGATGACTATTTTTTTTCTTTTTGCCATTGTCTAGCTGTAGGTAACTGCATAATCTTCTAGAGTTAACTGTGTTTACAACAGGGGTAGGGAAATACTTTGTATTCTAGCTTTGTGTGCAGTTGTCCGGTTCTCCTGGTCATGGAAGAAGTCTTATTAATGCAAAGAGGTTGAAGCTCTGACATCTTCCATTTCATATTCCCTCAGGGCATTTCTTTGCACATAAATTCATATTTGCTGAAGATTACCTTTTGTTAAGCCTGTATTTCTATTCAGAGTGTTGATTTCTCATATGCTAATGTTATTATCACAGCAAAGGCTCTGGAAGGAAGTCAGTGCGTTCATTTCTTGGGAACATAGAACACTTCCTAAAGTCCTACAGCTGCTTGTTGGGCAGGCTTGCTGTTTTTGATTATACAGTGGTTTCCTGTAAATGCACAGTAATAAGCACTTGCAGTAATTGTTCATCAAACGTACTCAAAAACCTAAAAGCGTAAAGTTATCCATGAATGTTTTGTGTAAATCTGAGCAATTTTGTAGTCGGTGTTTCATGTTCAACTTAGCAATTTTTAAACAAAAATATGGCAACAAAACAAACAGGAGTTGGCGCTGACTAACATGCCAGTGGACACAGTTTTGGCCACATAACCCTGGAACAGGCATTCTTAATGATCACCCTTGTTTCCTTTTACAAAATGTAAATTTGCCTCTGCAGGACTAGCATTGTTGGATTTGTCCAAAGCCAAGGCAAAAATGATTTTATTTTTTTATATGCATTTTTTGCTCTGCTCTGTGGTTGTAGATGTCAGCAAAATATTAAGGATTTTAGATATTCAGTATGGCCTTAGGGAGATAGACAATGAGAATTAATAAGAGGAACAAATATAATTTTGCAATAAATGATTAATTTTGACCATTTACTTTTCATTTAAGAAACTAAAATTAAGATAATATTACAAAGAGTAGCTCATGGGATGTAAAACAGCTTGTTAGAGTGCTATGTGACGGGTGGGTCATCGGGATCTTAGAACCTTCTAGAAAGAAAGTCAGATACTAGAAATAGTGGAGTGATTGGTTCAGCTATATTGAGCATGGGATGTAAAACAGCTTGTTAGAGTGCTATGTGACGGGTGGGTCATCGGGATCTTAGAAACTTCTAGAAAGAAAGTCAGATACTAGAAATAGTGGAGTGATTGGTTCAGCTATATTGAGGGGAAGTTATTTTAAGAAGCAGCAATGACCACATTTAAATTTTTTAAAGGAATCATGATGTTTAGAATTTTATCACATTAGGTTCCACCTAGATTTCTTATTGTGGAAAGAACCACTGGGTTATCTTCCCTTTGGATAATTCCTAATCTCTTTGATGATTGCATTCTTGCGACTGCACAAAGTTGCTTTTCTTTGTACCGTTAATCCCATTTAGAATTTGTAAAAAGTGGTAGGAAGTGTAAATTTTGTGTTTTATTTGCATTTTCCTTTTGGCATACAGACACTGAGAACTCTGAGATTTGGCTTCTTGCAGAAGCATCTCTGTGTGGGCCGTACAGACCACATTGCACCAGGGAGCGCAGCGTAGAATGTTCACTTATAATAGCTCACTTGACAGCGAGGTGGAAGGGTTCAGTTTCTCAGTGTACTGAGAGTGGTGCAGGGTACGGGGTATTCTGAAGACTATGCAGGTGAGCAAAGACTCAGATCTTTAGACTTAGTCAGACTAATTCTGAGGAAGCTTTAAGAATTGTCCATCCATGGGCAAGATGCTAGAAGCTTATGAGCAGGCTTTGAGGGTCAAAGCCCATCTCTGCTGGGGTCAGCATCTTCATTCCTTGGTATATACTCTGGTATGTTAGATAGAATTTTGGGGATTGTACATTACTTAGCTTGTACTCTTTAATCTTTAAATGTCTCGTAGGAACCAAATTCTGTATAATGTGTTCTCCAATTTATATTAAAAGCACCTTTGAATTTAACATTAACTAAAGTCCATATATTACATGTATATTTGAAGAAAAAATCATTTGATACAGTCTCCAATGCTATTTTATACCAAAAACTTTACAACTGGCTTTTTTCCCCCTGTATAGCAAGATAATAGGGAGATGTTTCGAAGCGTGCGGCACATGATCTATGACCTTATTGAATGGCGATCGCAGATTCTTTCTGGCACTCTGCCGCAGGATGAGCTCAAAGAACTGAAGAAGAAGGTCACAGCCAAAATTGATTATGGAAACAGGTTTGTTTATCTGAAACATGATTTCATGCCTAAATTATCCAATATAATAGCATCACTCTAAGCCTTGAGATCAAAATCTCATTTTATCATAAAACAAAATTTCTAACATCAAAATGATATCATGGTTTTCATTTTGAAAAGGATGAAGTATTTTCTATTGGATTCTGAAAATCAGGAGAGGTTCCTGAGTCATTTCTGAAATCTGTTTTTCAAGCGGGAGAGCCAAGAAGCTGGATCTGGGTCGCCTGTCATTTTTGCCATTTCAGATGGGACCCCACGGTGATTCCCCCATCAAGGAACTTTTACTTTCTGCTCACAGTATTTGGCTTTGAGTCTAGACGTGAGGGTGCTGGTGTTCAGTAACAAGTTCCAGGTTTTTTTCCATGCAGTCCTAAGCTCTGAGAGTTGGAATGGACATTAGAGGTCACCATTAAACTTGTCACCAGTGCAGGATTGCCAGATTTCACAAACTGAAATACAGGTCCAGCTAAATTTGAATTCACATAAACAACAAATAGATATTTTGTGCAAGTATGTCTCTTGCAAAGGCTCTAGTCTCTTGCAGGCATCCACCCTGCTCTGCTTGAATGCCATGAGTGACGGTGGGCTCACTCCCCCAGAGCTATGTGTCACAGTGTTAGCATGTGTTTTCTGACGCTGAAAGGAAATGAGCTTCTCTGATGCTAATTCTGCCAGCTTCTGTATCCAGAACGAGGCCATGCTCTTTCCCTCCTAATAACTATTTGGTTGTTCCTGTAATACCAGAACTGCAAGAAGCCTTAAAAATTAGCTTGTCAAGTGGTTTAAATGCTCTTCTATATTTACTTGGAGAACTTTCAAAATACAGAATACTGAGACCCACTCCATAAGATTCTGATGGGTGATGTTTGGGATGCTGGGTGGAAATCTCAGTTTTTAAAAATGGAGTTGGACCTTGCTGGACAGCAGATTGGAAAACTTCTGGTTTAACCTAATCCCCTCATTTCACACACTGGAATGTGGAGGTCAGAGAAGGGAAGGGGTTTGCCTCTAGCCCTTCAGCCGAAAGGAGCCCTGGGTAAACTAAAGAACCTTTCTGTAAAATCAGAATTATCGCATAATTTTGTTTAATGCTAATGGATGCTTTTAACTGTGAAAAGTTTCTTAAGGCGACACTATGAGCAAGATGTAGGGTCTGGATTAGAAATGCTGCAGAAGAAAGTTTTTATTTTTGTTCTCTGGAAAGACTTCTGGTGATGGGATATTAGATATTGTTGCTGTGAAACCCATTTCAAAACTACCTGCTTAAAAAAGCAAACTTTTGGACCTTTGATTTTATCTTCTATTGGAGTATTGTATTTTGAACTTATGTTCAGTGACCAGCTGCTTAATTTGGCTGTAGGCAGCTATCAAAGTACATTATATCATGGAACAATCTAGTTAAGAAAGGAAGTGTTTCCATATGTGATTTACTACTTTGATAGGAAATACAGTCCTTAATAAGACTTTTTTTTTTTTGCCGACGGATCTCCAGGCTCCTCTAAAATTTCTCTAAAACCCAGTACTCTGTGTATATTTTACTAGTCCCTCCTTTAGAAAACAAAATAATGTAAAATAAAATCACATGTTGAACAATTGATCTTAAGATGGTGGATATAATAAGGAGAAGGTGTTTTGTGCCTTTTTTATTGATTACTTAGGTGTTTTCTTTTAACATTGGGGGAGGAGTTCTGGGAACCATTTGAAAATGTGATGAAGATCATGGACCATCTCGCTAGAAATATTCACATATGTAATACACACACAGACACAGACACACAGCATACAATGTTGCACATAATTTCAGGGAGGGTTCCACTCCTGTGTTCTCATAGGTACCTTAGGCTTCCATGGAATTAGTCTAATGGTGTTAGATTACCTTGCTGGGTAAGTTACACCTTCATAATAGAAATTCACTCCAGATTCAGAGACCCAGTTGGGCACTGAGTGCTGAGAACAGTGTGTACGTGGAATGGTTGGCATGACAGGATACTTCATGTGACAGTTTGCATGTGGCGTTCTGGAAGGAGTGTGACCATGAGAGGGTTCTGACACGGAGACTAGGCTGTGGGCTCTTCTAGGGGTTTAGTGTTGGATGATATAAATAAGTTCTCTGCGATTAGTTTTCCTCCTTTGTAAAATGTGTCTGACCATCTCTACTGGCAGAACTGAGGTGATTAGGTGGCTGGATGTACACAGCAGGCTGGCACAGGGCCCAGGCCTCATGCATTCCTTGAGGGAGCCAAATTCCTGGAGGCTTGCAGGACCTTCTAGCTGGACCTCCTTAAAGCCAGGTGTTTGTAGCTGCACCTGCACCAGCACTGACCCTGTCATACCAGAACCAACCCTGCACTTAACAGCAATGACCCTGCCCCTACTAGCACAGACCCCGCCCACTCTAGCACTGACCCCGCCCACACTAACTAGCACTGACCCTGCCCATACAAGCACCGATCCCCTCCACTAGCACTGACCCCTACGCACACCAGCATTGACCCCACCTACACCAGCACTCAGTCCCCTAGGAACAGGTTTAGGGCTGGCATAAGCAGTAATATTTGGGAGGGAGGGGTTTTGCCTTTAGTGAAACATGTTACAAAGACAACTAATGAGACCTCTCTTCGTATAACTTCGTATAATGTATGCTATACGAAGTTATTACGACCAGCACTCACCCTGTCATACCAGAACAAACCCTGCACTTGACAGCAATGACCCTGCCCCTACTAGCACAGACCCCGCCCACTCTAGCACTGACCCCGCCCACACTAACTAGCACTGACCCTGCCCATACAAGCACTGACCCTGCCCATACAAGCACCGATCCCCTCCACTAGCACTGACCCCTACGCACACCAGCATTGACCCCACCTACACCAGCACTCAGTCCCCTAGGAACAGGTTTAGGGCTGGCATAAGCAGTAATATTTGGGAGGGAGGGGTTTTGCCTTTAGTGAAACATGTTACAAAGACAACTAATGAGACCTCTATTAGTCCATTTGTGTTGCTTATAACAGAGTACACGGAACTGGGTGATTTATAAAGAAAATGAAATTTATTGCTTACAGTTTCTGAGTCTGGGAAGTCCAAAATCCATCTGGTGGTGGAGACAGTGACCCAGGGGTCTCACATTGCAAGATGGTGGAAGCAGAGAGAGCAGAGAGAGGAAAAGGCAGAGAGAGGAAATGGGCTTTCCCCTTTCTGAAAGCCCTCTGAACCATGCCCCTCATCACCATTTTTAATCCATTCACTACTGCACGGTGCTACATTCCAGTCACCTCCTCAAGGCCCTATCTTTCAGTTACCATAATAGGATTTCCTACCCCTTAACAGTCACAGTGGGGGCTAAGTTTCTAATATATAAAACTTGGGGGACCCGATTCAAGGCTTCAGCAAATTTTGGGGGAACATAATTCAGTCCAGTATAAGACTGGAAATGGATTTTTTAAAAAAATGTCTTTCTGTTCCTCTTGAGACCCCACAAGCATTGCATCTGCTGAGCTGTTTTCATGGCCCACAAAAACCTCTATTTATTTAAAGCCTGTTTACCCGCGCGCTGCGAACAGGCCCAATTGGCCCTGCTTCACCATCAGCAGAATTTGCTCAATAGATACTAAAAGGAAAAAAATGGGCCTTTGTAATTGCCTTCCAGATGGTGAGGTGGTCCAGCACAAATGAAACATGTTGGACATGTTATCAGACTCATCTCTAGCTTTAAGGCGTGTGACGTCGAGAGAAGTCTGAGATTATTTCGTCTGGATGGAGTGTTTATAGGCAATTCAACTTTCCTCTTAAACTTGTAACTGTTAAAGATGTTCTCTAATTAAAGTGTATCACTTTCAAAAGACTCTCTTTTATTTGTCATATGGTTAAAAAATAATCTGCTTGTATAGACTTGTTAATAGCAGGAATATAATCCCAATGGCAGGGTATGAGAAATCTATGGTTAATTTCCTTCCCTAAGACCTGCGTGTGTTATTAAAAAGAAAACCAGAGTGTACCACCATAACACAACTCTTGATTTCTTTCATTATGTAATTGCCATTGTTTATTCTTTAAAGTAAAAACTGGTAAAGATCACCTGACAATTTTGTTGGATTTGAGAAATCAGAGAGAATGTTGCCAAAAAAATATTTCCAGATATAGACAGGACAGATTGGTTGGCCAGATGTTACTTATGTTTTAAGTTGGCTACTACGTTTAGCCATCTGGCCAGGAAGTTGCTTAACATTATTATTGATAACGTCCGTATGTTTAGTGTTCAAACACAGTAGGACATCTTCATTGAAAATCTTCCAGTGGCCTAGTGTAGGGATCAGAACTGACTCTAGACAGAAGGAAAGCTGTGCAGTGGACCCTGCCAGAGACAGTGGTGAGGACATTGGGAGGTGGGTGTATACTTTAAACTGTCCCTACTTTACACAATACTTAGTAATTCACATTTCACTGGGACTTTGTAGATCTGTGAAATTTCTCATTGGAAGACAAAGTCACTATTGCAATGGAAGTAAAAATTGAGAAATTTTCTTTTTATATTTCCCAAGGTGATACATTTTGAGTTAAAGAAAGTGACCTCACAGAATTATATTTCCTAATAATTTATGGGTGAGCTGACTTCCTATCACATTTTCATCCACTCAATTGTTGAGGCTGAAGTTTGTAGTCTTCTTGGTTTGTTTCCATGAAGTTCTGAATTCTTGTCCTTCTAGAATTCTTGATTTGGACCTGGTGGTTAGAGATGAAGATGGAAACATTTTGGATCCAGAACTAACTAGCACGATTAGTCTCTTCAGAGCTCATGAAATAGCTTCTAAACAAGTGGAGGAAAGATTACAAGAAGAAAAGGTGAGTTCAACTCTGCAATGTGCCATCCACATTTGGATCATATTTTTTCAATAACAGTTTTCAACATTAGTAAAATATCAATCAAGTCTAGAATTTGCACTAGAAAGGAGCCTGAAAAGGAGCAACTAAAGAATGAAGGATAGAATGGAGCCCCAAGGCAGAACATGTTACTGATGACATGAAAGGATTTCATCCCTTGAGGGGCACGTATAGTGTGGTGCGTCATCTTAGGAGACAGAGTCTTATTGACATTGACTTTGTGTTCTCATCTGTCAAATGGGAAGCATACTTGATTCTGCATTTCCTCTCTGATAATGCGGGGGAGTGGTGGGAGGTGGTGACCTTGCAAGGGACTGGGGCAGAGAACATATGTCTTATTGATCTGTTCATTTTCTTTGACCTGTAATGGTATCATGTATATAGTAGATATTCAGAAATTGATTGAATGATTGAGCCATCTGTTATTTCAGCGAGTATTTATTGGGCACCTACTGTGTGCCAGGTGCTGAGGACATAATGATGAATGAGACAGAGCTGTGCTTGGTGTGAGGTTTAGTGTAATGGGGGAACCAAAAATTAAACAAGTAACTACATGTATAATTATCATTCTGATTGATTGGACACCTGAAAGTTTTGTTATCTCTGAAGATGCTTTGTACAAACTGTTATGGAATTGTCACCCTTGCATGGGGTGCTTCTTTTCCAGTTGGGTGGGTGCATGTTTTGGGAATGTGCAGTGGGGACTTGGAAGTGACTGCATGAATGGCTTTGCTGTGTTATGCCAACTAATTCTGCACCTTTTTCTAGTCAGTAGAGAATTAAAAGAGCAAGGGTTAGCAATGAGCGTTGCTGACATTGACATTCTACTTTCTTTCTGTTTACAGTCTCAGAAGCAGAACTTGGATATTAACAGACAAGCCAAGTTTGCTGCCACCCCTTCCCTGGCTTTGTTTGTCAATCTCAAAAATGTGGTTTGTAAAATAGGAGAGGATGCTGAAGTCCTCATGTCTCTCTATGACCCTGTGGAGTCCAGATTCATCAGGTGGGGGACATTTCTTGGCTACTATCTTTCCTCTTTGCTTAGTGTTGGGAAAGTGGCATCAGAACCACCATGAAGTCCCATTTGTGCTGAGAGCCCAGGGACCTCTCCTGAGCAGCCGAGCCGGTGCTGTTCTGGATGGCATGATGGCAGCCAGCTGTGCTCCAGGCTGGGGCGCAGGCCTTAGGTGCACGTAGCTATTTGCTCCTAGAGTTGTACTGTAGTCACAGAGACACTCTTATAATATTTTAAGGACCCAGCTGAAGACTGAAGTAATACTTGTTTCCTATGTTGTCTTCATAGGATTTTATATTTACTGAACCCCACTCCCCACCTGCATCCTGAAATACCACTCTTCCCTTTTTTGAAATTTTGGTCTCTGTGAATGCCATTTCTGTGACCTTTGTCCTGTTGCTATTTCTCCCAGATGACTGTCTGAAATAATACGGTGTCTAGGACAGTGCTGGCCACATACAGTCTCTCCGTTAATATTCGTTGAATGAAAACATGGACAATCCAGTGTTCTTGCTTGGCTGTGTAACTTTCTATTCGTCCAGACAGAAACATTGTGGTTAAACTATATGTGAAGCGTGTGTGTGTGTGTGTGTGTGTGTGTGTGTGTGTGTGTGTTAAAACTCCATTACCTTCACTTGGATTCTTCAAAATTTAAAAACTTAGTGTATGACTAAAGCAAAACAAATGAGTGAGTTTCATTCTCCCTTCTGATGAGGACTTTATTTCTTCTTGACTCGGGAGACAGTTTGTATTTTATAGCATGTTTGGTTTCTTGTAGGCTTCGAAGTAAATATGCATTGTGTTGAATTTTACCATTGTCATTCTAAATGAACAAATAGGCTTTTAAAATAATAAACTTTGAAATGCCATTTGCAAATAGTTCCATTACAGTTATAATCCAGGACATCCGAAATTAAAACCTCCCAAAGTTTTTGTGCAGTATATGTTTATTGATGAGTAGCTCTATTTGACATTGTTGATATTTATGAACTTGTAGTTGTCTGTATAATAGACCACAGTGGTATCAACTTTCAGGCAGTGTGGATGTAATTGGGTACCCTGTCATATTTGGAAAATTAATTTGCTTTTATTTTTTTCTTTTTTCAGTGAAAACTACCTGGTTCGCTGGTCAAGTTCGGGATTACCTAAAGATATAGACAGATTGCATAATTTGCGAGCTGTTTTTACGGTAAGTAAAACCCTTAGATGTTTAGTTGAATTGCTGTCCATTCTAATGACTCTTTTTCATGGCTTCCCTCCGATTCTTTACTGCAGTAGCATATGGGTCCTTGGGATGTTCGTAATCCGGGTTAATGTGCATGAACCTCCCTCCTGGAAATCTTCTGAGTCTCCAGCTACACTTAGAATCAACCGTGACAAAGATTTACTCCATTACCGTCAAGCACATCTCTTAAACTTGTATCTTAAGTTCACTCAACATTAATTGACCATTGTTATTCAATTCCTGTTTGTCATGTGAATCACTTATTAAAATGCTAAAAACTGGTCTGAGAAAAGAGTCTCGATCCATCTTTTTACTGTTCTTTTCAATTGAACTTGCATTAAATAATGGTTCTTCAGAACAATATATGGAAATTAATATTTCTAGGACCTTGGAAGCAAAGACCTGAAAAGGGAGAAGATCAGTTTTGTCTGTCAGATTGTTCGAGTGGGTCGCATGGAGCTGAGAGAAAACAACACGAGGAAGCTGACCTCGGGGCTGCGGCGACCTTTCGGAGTGGCCGGTAATCCATTTCTCTCTTTCTCCTTGAGAGCTTCAGATCCTCATTTTCACTTTGAATAAGAGCCACTGTTGAATATTGGGCAGTGGGCAGCTTTGATTTATTAGCTTTTCTGTTGAAGAGAAAAAAACCTATTAGTTCTTTTCTGTGTGGTTTCAAGTCAATCTGCTCAGCTCAGGATGCCTTGGTCCACAAGTTTGAGATGTAAATCATATATTTGGTTTTAAAGCAGATCACATCCTTACCTAGGGGAGACCCTGACCCATATCCTCCACCTATAGGGAAGCCAGTCATTGGAGGTTTTCAGGGCTTCTGGACTTGGTGATTGATTTAGGCGTGGGTTTGCACAGAGCAGTCAACGTAATGAAGGGTAGAAGGGGTGCAAACCACGAAGAGGACACAGTCAGCTTAAAGTAGGTGCTTTTTATGCTCTGCATTGGTGCTCTGTTATTTTTGGTGACAGCACAAGAAAGGTGAGAGACTAGTTATCTTTGCTGAGGAAAGATAACAGTGTCCTCAGGAAGTTCTAATTAGTTGACCTCTTTCAATGTTACTCTCATTTTTCATCATTGCTGAGGAAAGATAACAGTGTCCTCAGGAAGTTCTAATTAGTTGACCTCTTTCAATGTTACCTCATTTTTCATCATTTTATTTATTTATTTATTTTTTGTCTTTTTGTCTTTTTCCGTGTCTGGCAACGGATCGCAACCCTCAGTGTTGCCCCCGTACCGGACCGGGGACCGGCAACGGGATTGCAAACCTCGGCGTTGCTCCCGCGCCTCGCTCAGCCAGTGAGCGGG